CTGTATATATAGCCTGCTTCACAGTCCCCCCTTTCACATCGGGGTCCCCTTCACATCAGAGTCCACCCCTTCGCACCAGAAGCTTTCCTGTACCATGGAAAGGCATAACATTGTGTGAAAATTTTGGGGCACCGATGAGGAAGACAGAAGGCACACCAGGTTGCCACAGCATCCTGGAAAAAAAGGCTGGTGTAGAGTGCCTGCAGCATATGTGCAATACTGCATTTAGTCTAGCTTATCCCTAGCATTGGTAAGATGCCAGTAATGCAGTCAGGTGGCAGAGACAATGTAGCTCCTGCATGTATATGCAAGAGTTACATGAGAAGTGGCCGCTCAGTAGGAAGAGGTCAGCAGAGTGGTACCCGTATGACGCAGTAGAGAAGATGGCAGTGCCGACAGAGGGGCACAGCTTTGATCTGTCATCACTGGAGTCTGAATCAGGCAGGTGAGTGCTGGTGCACTAGCCTGAAGCTCACAATTCCATATTTCATATCTAATTAAAAGGAAATAAATATGTTTTAAAGTGTCACTTTCTTTCTAAGTGCAATAAATAAATAAAATAAGAACAACATTCATTTTCTGGATTTTTCAACCTTTGGCTTGGAAAAGAAATGTCCTCTACTGCGCACCATACCGGCACCGCGTTCTCTGATGGCTTCTGATGTCAAAAAAAGGGAACAACATTAAGGCTACTTTAATGGCCACTTTTACTCTCCTTGTGTTTATCAAGATAATAAACTGTGCATACATTTAAATAATAATTAGTACAGCTCCATGTGCTGCCAAAAGACAGCTTGTCTTCACGATTCCTCCTCTTTGTAGTGAAGCTTCTGCAGATTTCGTTTTTAGGCAAATAAAAACAAGAAAGCCTAACCCACTTGGCAGAGCTACAGAATCTTTCACAATGAAAATCCTTAGAGGCTGCACATAACATCTTAAATGATCTGGACACGGTGCTCCTTTGAATTAAAAGCAGATCTGAGGATTCTGCAGCTATTACTAGGGGCTATTTTTCATTGCATGCAGCATATGAACGGCATAAGAATGCCAGGAGTGGAGATGGAAATATACAATCAGACACTAACAATCACACAGGCTTCATCAAACTGCCATCATTAAAAAAAAAAAAAGTTTGGGAGATTTAAAACATTTCCTTGTCATTTTAATTACTGCGCTACCGGATTAGTCGATGAATGCTGCATATGGAAAAAAAAAACCAAAAACATTTTAAAGCAATGAGTTCAAAATGAAGTAACATGAAAGCGGTGTCTAGTCTGTTATTGTGATTCGTTAGAACTCCGGCCTAAACAGGAAACTTTTCAGTGGTTTTTAATTTTATTTTTTTTAATGGTAGGACTTATCTAGATTTCTAAATATAAAATGAACAATTCTGACTCAGTTTGAAGCTGGGAGGACTATTACTATGCAAATTAGCTATTCTCATAATAGCAAAGACCCAAACTTACTATATGACTGTGCCCATCCACCAGAAAAGCTCAAACCCAGGTTAATTTACCTTTTTATAATTAATAGGGGCAGTTCAGGCTGCAATACTCACCTTCTCACTTGCTCTGTCCCCCCTGCAGTACTACCGACCTGGGCCAATATTATATGATTGGTCACAGAGCTGTAGCTAGCCTATTTTGCGCCCGAGGCAAAAAAAGAAAATGATGCCCCCCCCCCCCACCCCGATGTTTTTTTGAGGAAACTAAATAAATAACAAGGAATTAATTATATTTAAACCATTTATTTCAGTTACATAAGAAACATAAAGATATGTAAGTTAACGTAAATAACAACTTCAGAAAAAATAAACTTACAGTGTAGTTAAAGGAGAACTATAGGTTAGGGCTTTTCCCCATAGTTCTCCTTAGGGTAAAAGGAGGGCACAAACTAGCGTCCTCCCGTCACCCTAAGCTCAGTATACCGCGAGCTA